AAATGCAAGTAGATAAATAGGTACCATTTCATTGGGAAGGCGTTCCAATGCCTCAACATATAGTCACGTTGGACATATAGTCACGTTCGAAAGCATGCAAATGCAAGTAGATAAATAGGTACCATTTCATTGGGAAGGCGTTCCAATGCCTCAACATATAGTCACGTTGGACAGATGACCACAGAAACATCTTTGGACAACGCTAGCCCCCTTGGCTAAGAAACAGACATAAGCACAACTAGATGGGAAAAATCTACTTTTTCTTTTAAGAATGTTACATCTGGAACATCAATAAATCTAGAAACATGCAATTGATTATGTTGGAACTACAAATTAGGAAAGAATAAATAGCTGGCTGGAGTACTAGTTCAGTAAGTAGGGTGATCCTACTAACATAGCATCAAAAAATACCACAAGTGCTATTGTATCAAGGTCTTAGACTTGTCTCAGTGAAAATTGGAACTTCTTTCATTTCAAGCAGTTCTTTGGCTTTTGTCCAGAGACTAGATATTGCAAATTCCTAGTGTTTCCTAGTATAATTGGAGCCCAATATTCTACTTTTTAGCAACCTCTAGAATTTCACCTTGATGTTAGTGATAAAAGGCATAAAATTGATCTAGGCTGTATAGAAAGTAAGGAAGATGATTTTGACAGAGATATGCAAGTTCTGTTGCCAAGGCAACCAGGAATAAAACATATTTCAAGTCCAAAGCAGCCAGTTAACACTTGAAAGTTCCTCAGTTACATTCGTCATGAATGCTATGAACTCTAAGCTATAGTAGGAGATATAAACAGACTTACAAAATTCTATTATTATAGTCACTCTTAATAAAAATTCTTCAGGTCTTCTATGAACTTAATTTCTTGATCTGACTGCCTAGTGGGAATGACACTAGGAAACTAAATCTTAAACTTTAAGCTTAGATCTTAATGTAACTTAAATCTTAAATTTTAAGCTTAAACCTCAGTTTAAAAGTGCTAAAAAGAATAGCAAGAACCAAGTACTAATGTTATTCCAAAATTAAAAATTATCTGACATCATAAATAGTTAAAATATAGCAAGCAAAATATAGCACATATAGGTTTCAAAGGCAACCATAGTTTAAGATACATATTTTTTATTGGAAGCTGAAAAATCAGATGTGAAGAAGAAAAAGCTAAACCTGGTTAAAGATAGTGCTGAATGGGAAAGACTCAGTCTGCAAAGGAGTCCTTCTCAGTCAGTTTACTGTTTGTTTCTTATCAAATAATAGATTAGTGTTGTGAAATAAAAAAAGAAACTTACTAATCAGATTATTAAATTCCAAGAGCCAAGGTGGCGCAGTGGTTAAATGCAGCACTGCAGGCTACTGCTAGATCAGCAGTTCAGCGGTTCAAATCTCACCGGCTCAGGGNTCCACCAGTGGGGAGAAGATACTACAAACTGTCAGAATGAGCGGCAATTCTCAAGGTCCATATTCTACATCTTCAGTCTCTAATTCTGAAATGTACACCAATGGGGAGAAGGTGCTACGAACTGTCAGAGAGAGCAGTTCTCAAAATCCACGTTCTGTATCCACAATCTCTAGCCTTGAAATGCCTGGCACTTCAGACCCCAGTGCTTCTTCTTATATGATAGTGCCTGCAGATTCCCAACAAATGGATCTGTCAACCCAAGACACTGATGAAACTAAAGCAACAGATAGACATTCTCAGTCACCTTCAGCAACTACAGGTAAAGGAGAAGGATCTCGCATTTGATCAAGATTTACAAGTAGTCTTTTATTCATGTCGGGATAAAGCCAGGTGTTCTTGGTGAATACAAAAAAAAAGTAAAGAGAAAATGGAAAATAAGTTATCCTTAGGGAAACAAGTTATTTTGGAAAAAAAGCAGCAGAATTTATATATGACTGTTTTAATTAAATCTTCATTTCAAACACTGAGGAAGGGTAAAGATGTTGCAGAAGGTTGCATCTTTATTGAGTGATGTTAACACTAAAGATAATTTGGATGCGAAAATTATCTTCCTTTTATCCTATTGGATTTAAATAACTCATATTAATATTAGGTGGAATCTCTTAAGAAAATTAGATATGTCCAACACTGGCTTTATCTTAATGCAGGGAAGGTAATACTGAGAAATTATAAGAACTACATTCCAACATAAAATTGATATAATGGAATGATGATCATGTTCGTAATTACAATAATCCGTTTCATTTGTATGGCACCCTTTCTCATGATGAAGTCCAGAGTCTAAATAATGAAGAAATCTAGAACGTTGTAAACTGCACATTTTAAAAGTATAAGAAATCTCTTCAAAGACCTGGTACAAGTGAACTCCATGCAAGCAGTTGCTGATGTTTCCTTAGTAACATTATTATACAAAATATATAGCAGATGTCCCAAACAATTTAAAAACTATTTTCTTTAATTTAATTATGCTTACGATTTTTATTTTCCATGCAATTAAGACTAAAATGAATAGTTATTAGCAACTCTCCATGGGTTATGTAGTTTCTTTTCAATCTTAAAGAGATATTTACATTTCTAATCCTTGAAATATATTTCTAATCTTTGGTCAAGTTGAATATATCCTCTACAATAACTGTTAAGTTCATTGTTTATAATATAATCTATTGAAAAACAATTTGTTGAAATTAGCAAGGTTCAAACTTTAGAACAAAATTCACACGAACTAATCGAGAAGCTATGGCTATGAATAGCTTTGTAGAAAAAGCACCTTTTCATTAAAATGGATACTAAAAATGTTTTCAGATTTTAACTGTACACTAAAGTACAGAGAGCTGCTAGTATGCAGGAAAGAGTTAGCTTTTTCTAGACCACATTACCATCATCTAGTGGTTTCTGGATGTTTGCAGTTAAGATATGGAAGATCTATACTGCATTATGTTGAATAAAATAACTAAATGTCAGAGTCCAGGTTGTGAGAAATGGTACTGTGAAAAGTGTATGAAATGAAAGAAGTTGCATACATTCTGTATTCTTATCCTTTTTCAGTGACCAATCAGATGTCCACGGAAAGCCCACATACTAGAGAGAAGTGCAAAACACCTTTCTGCTCATGTTCTCAAGCAACTGAGTCTTATGCCAGAGGTAATACATAGCATTCATGATGGGGAGCCATCAATAGATTGACTGGCCCTGAATTCTCACTACTCTTTTAAAGGCATCCAAATTACGGTAATGGCCAACACCACATCACAATACTGAATTCTGTGTTCTGTCGTTTAATTAAAGTGGTATACTAGGTTTCAATTTTAGCTTGACCTTACAGGTAGTCCTCAATTTATGACCACAATTGAATCCAAAATTTCTGTTGTTAAGTGAGATTTTGTTAAGTGAGTTTGGGCCTATTTTGCGACCTTTCTTGCCACAATTGTTAAGTGAATCACTGCAGTTGTTGAATTAGTAACACGGTTGTTAAGTGAAGCTGGCTTCCCCCTTGACTTTGTTTGGAAGAAGGTTGCAAAAGGTGATCACATGACCCCAGGACACTGCAACCGTCATAATTATGAGTCAATTGCCAATAATTTTAGTCACTTGACCACAGGGATGCTGCAACGGTTGTAACTGTGAAAAACAATCAAAAGTCATTTTTTTCAGTTGAACTGTTACTAAATGAACTGTTATAAGTTGAGGACTACCTGTATTGATTTGTATAAACTCAGCTGATGTGATTTACTAAACGAACCTTTATGGATATTATTGAACGCAACCCGGCTTATTCAACAAATGATTAAGCAATTGATTTAGCACTAAGTAAAGTATGTAAGCCAGACCTGTGTGCTATGCATATACTATATGTTCCATATACTATATTTTATCTACCTTAGCTAATTTTAAATTCTAATATGATCAGAAATAGAAGAAACTTTCTCCTCTCATTTTAATTTAAGAAATGTTAATATTCATCAGAGATAAGTTGAGTTGGTCTATATGATAAAAATTGATTATATCAGATAATAAACACAAGCAAAATCTCCAAACATTAAATGACATATTAAAATCTGGAATAACTTTTCTTGAAAAGACATGTATGTTCCATTTGATGTGGGGAAAAAAACCACAAGAGATTTAAATGCAAATAAATATTTTGGTAAGTTGTGACAATAGCTTGGCATAGAATTGGATTGGTTTCTTTATGTATGTATATTCCTCATCTATTTGTTTCTATATTTTTCACAGATTAATATGCTGCTCCAATAATCAATTGATTCTGAAAAGCTTATGTAGAGGAAAATTTAATTGTCATCATTATAACTTTTACATCTAAGTTCTCATTGATCTTTTATATAACAATAAAACTCCTATTCCCAACAGAACTAATGTTTTCTACTAAATATATATGAATATCCATTAGGGAAAAAGCATGATGTTAATTCAGCCTGGAGGAGATTCATCTCATCTTTTCATTGATATATTTCAGCCATGGAAGACACTAAACACATGAACAGCAGATCAAACACAGGGAGCAAAATATCCAGTTCTCACTTGGACAGTGTAACTGTTTCAAGAGTATTAGTCAGAGATGAAGAGAAGTCCAAGAATGTAACACAAACATTCACCACTGCTAACACTTCCAACTTTTCAAGGCTTTCATCCAGATCAGAAAAGACGGAACAAATGGGTTTGTTGCACAGGGATTTTGTTGTCACTAAAGAAGCATTTACAATTTCTCAGGCCCCTACAGGTAAATAAGGAAAATCCTCTTGTTTCTTCTGGATTTCAAGCTTTGCTAAGGCTATCTGGGATAAAAATAAAATGAAAATATTTGGGGTGGCTATTAAACAGGAAAACAAGATAAAAAAACAAGCATTTTATTTAGAAAGATGCAATAAATGGAAGTCACTAGGAGACGAAGATGAATGAAATAATTGCATCTTCTTTAATGGGACAACAAAATCTAGTTTGAAATTGGCTCTAGTCAAAAATAATATGTATGACAAAGTTTAAAGCACTGGGACAGACTGAATTATTATCCTGTAAAACATAAAAGATAATACTAATGCATACATTAGATTTCCTATTACAAGTTTTAATTAGAAAGTGATGGCATTGATTATTTGGAAAACTTCTGAAAAACTGTGGATAAAAACTATACTAATTGACAGTAGGAAAACAAAGTCCTGTTTATAAGGTTAGAGAAAAACATTTCACCTGTAATAAAAGATCAGAGTACTGTACTAATAATATTGATAGTTGTTTGTAAGAAAATTATCCATTCATTAATTCTTCTCAATAAATATGTTTATAGGTAAATCATGAAAGACGTTTTAAATCTTAAATTGGCTTAAAAGATACATGGTTTTACCTTGTCAAATTCTCCTGTAACATTGATTATTAAAATAGCAGCGTTCACTAAAAATAGCTATTCTGGGAAAAAAAAGAGAGACTGTATAATGTAAATGTTATGCTTTAACTGTTGCTAGTACTGTTGATATAGTGAAATTAAGATCAAAACAATTGGCACTAATTTACCATACCCAACAGTAATTATTTTCAGATTAGAATCTTGTTCTATTTTTTTATACATATTTTTAAAAATATTGATAGGTTTCCTAAGCTATTCTATCTATTCTCTAGTTTGGCAACCATACAATTTACATGCATTTGAAAAAGATAAATGTGATCATTCTGATAGCCACTCTTTAAAGTATGGTGGAAATCTCACTTCCACCAATCATAAAACAGCATATATTTACCAGACCAGTGCATTAGAGACAGAGATACCAAAGAACCTAACAAGAGGTTGGCAGTAAGATGAACCATTGAGCAGGTAATATTTGTATGAGAAGGTATTCTATCCCTCTTTGATTTTGTTATATATCATATAACTACGGTACCTTTAAGATCTTAAATTGTTTCTTTATGTGGATTTTAATGAGTGGCATTATTGTGAGCTATCCGAAATGTAAATTAAAAATTTCTTGGGTTCTTTGCAACTGTATGGGTTAATTTTCTATTGTTGCATTTCAGAACAGAACAGTCAGCCACTGAGCAGCTCAGATATCAAGAGCATTGCTTCTAATTTGTACACAGAGAACAGATCTGACAGAAGTGGGAACAGGATAATACAAACTCTGGGGCACACCAGTAGTTCTTACCATCCAGAGTCAATATCCACAGCTTCTGAGAGTGAAATACCCAGCAGTTCAGCTCTTACTGATTCTTTTTCTGTGTTGACTCCAGTTCGAACCAGACAAAATAATTTATCACCTGGGTTCACCAATGTCATAGAAGCAGAAAGTACACATCCTTGGGATTCCTCACAAGCAACAGGTAAAGATTTTTTCCCCCTGAGCTTTAGAACCTTGTCTGGTATCAAGATAAAAACAAAATGTCACAATTAAACATTAAACGAGAATAAAGGGTTGGGATGGGTAAATGGAAAAAACAAACTGCTAAGACATTTGAAGGTGAAGTTTATTTAAAATAGGCTGATTTCGTATTATTATTATTTGCAATTTCAATTTATTTGGCCACCCATCTCAAATTCATTATTCTGACCAGCCAACAAGAGTTAAAAACACCATAAAGCATATCACAGTAATAAAAACATACATGTAATTAATAGCTGAGGCAAAAAAAATTAAAATGTCCATCATTAACAGATGGCATTCCTTAATGAAGGGGATCCAGAGCAGTCCTCTCTTGACAGTCCAAATGGAATGGGTAGACATCTTCAGAAAGAGGCAGTTCCTTAAATAACCTGGCCTCATGCGACGAAGGAATGTAAAGGTCACTCCCAGCCTCTTGAATTTATTTTTATTTATTATTGATTTTATGTAGCCACCCATTTCACATTTGTGACTCTAGGTCACAAATGTGAAATGGGTGGCTACATAAAATCAATAATACATTGTTTGGCAAAACATTTAAAACCATAAAAACAAATAGCTATGAATATAAATAAAGATGCAGGAAAGTGCATTCAAAATCCTACATACCAGTGGTGGGTTATGGCCAGTACGCCCCGTTACGGATGTACCGGTGCCTGCTGGGAGCATCAGATACCGGTATGGTGCTTCAGAGGGCCAACCCACCTGTCGTCCATCCTTACCTGTATTTGACCCATCTGGATCATTTGCACATGTGCACAGAGCATATGGTGCCTGTGCGACGCTCCGCTGAGCAGCTGGAGCATCGCAGGTGGTAAGTACGCATGCACATACAGCACGAGTGCACATGGTGGACGCCTGTTGCAGCGTACCGGTTGTGATGGCATCCGGAACCCACCACTGCTACATACCATACAACCAGTTAATCCTGGAAGCATACAGGCACCCAATACATTTCACAGAGCAGAGGTGTAACATGTTCTGATGATGAGGCATACATGATTGCTTGCAGCACTGCATTCTGTACCAGCTGCAGCTTCCAGATGCTCTTCAAGGGCAGCTCCAGGTAAACTGCATTGCAGTAGTCCAATAGTCCATCAGTCTGATTCCCAAATGATTCTAGGATACATAGAGAAACCCATACATATACGGTATCGCTATATCTATCTATCTATCTATCTATCTATCTATCTATCTATCTATCTATCTATCTATCTATCTATCTATCTATCTATC